AGACATTGAAGACACATTTTCAGGACTAGAACAGAACAAAGGAGACACATGTTTGTGACTAGAACAGAAAAAAGGAGACACATGTTTGTGACTAGAACAGAACAAAGGAGACACATGTTTATGACTAGAACAGAACACAGGAGACACATGTTTGTGACTAGAACAGAACAAAGGAGACACATGTTTGTGACTAGAACAGAACAAAGGAGACACATGTTTGTGACTAGAACAGAACAAAGGAGACACATGTTTGTGACTAGAACAGAACAAAGGAGACACATGTTTGTGACTAGAACAGAACAAAGGAGACACATGTTTGTGACTAGAACAGAACAAAGGAGACACATGTTTGTGACTAGAACAGAACAAAGGAGACACATGTTTGTGACTAGAACAGAACAAAGGAGACACATGTTTGTGACTAGAACAGAACAAAGGAGACACGTGTTTGTGACTAGAACAGAACAAAGGAGACACATGTTTGTGACTAGAACAGAACAAAGGAGACACATGTTTGTGACTAGAACAGAACAAAGGAGACACATGTTTGTGACTAGAACAGAACAAAGGAGACACATGTTTGTGACTAGAATAGAACAAAGGAGACACATTTTCAGGACTAGAACAGAACAAAGGAGACACATTTTAAGGACTAAAACAGAACAAAGGAGACACATTTTCAGGACTAGAACAGAACAAAAGAGACGCATGTTTGTGACTAGAACAGAACAAAGGAGACACATGTTTGTGACTAGAACAGAACAAAGAAGACACATGTTTGTGACTAGAACAGAACAAAGGAGACACATGTTTGTGACTAGAACAGAACAAAGGAGACACATGTTTGTGACTAGAACAGAACAAAGGAGACACATGTTTGTGACTAGAACAGAACAAAGGAGACACATGTTTGTGACTAGAACAGAACAAAGGAGACACATGTTTGTGACTAGAACAGAACAAAGGAGACACGTGTTTGTGACTAGAACAGAACAAAGGAGACACATGTTTGTGACTAGAACAGAACAAAGGAGACACATTTTCAGGACTAGAACAGAACAAAGGAGACACATGTTTGTGACTAGAACAGAACAAAGGAGACACATGTTTGTGACTAGAACAGACCAAAGGAGACACATGTTTGTAACTAGAACAGAACAAAGGAGACACAAGTTTGTGACTAGAACAGACCAAAGGAGACACATTATCAGGACTACAACAGAACAAACGAGACACATTTTCAGGACTAGAAAAGAACAAAGGAGACACATGTTTGTGACTAGAACAGAACAAAGGAGACACATGTTTGTGACTAGAACAGAACAAAGGAGACACATGTTTGTGACTAGAACAGAACAATTGAGACACATTTTCAGGACTAGAACAGAACAAACGAGACACATTTTCAGGACTAGGACAGAACAAAGGAGACAAACTCTGAGGCTTAGACTGGACACGTTGGTCGCTTTATTTCAATCAGTTCTAGGCTGGGGGTGACAGTTGCTACCGCTGGCTGTTGTCCCCTGTAGGAGCAGCTGGCTGTTCAGCGCAGTGCAGAAGGTCCTGGGGAAACCACACAGACATTTCTTCAGGAAATATCTCATAAATAATCAGGTACTTCAATGTGCACTCAACAGACAGAAAAGCAGATGTTCTGGGACCAACTGAGTCCAGAAATACTTACGCAGGTAGTGGGTAGCACTCACAGAAGTAAAGGCAAGAAGTACAGCGAAGCAGAAGAGGGAAGCAGTAGAGGGAAGCAGAAAATGGAAGCAGAAGAGGGAAGCAGTAGAGGGAAGCAGTAAAGGGTAGCAGTAAAGGGAAGCAGAAGAGGGAGGCAGAATTGGGAAGCAGAAGATGAAAGCAGTAAAGGAAAGCAGAAAAGGGAAGCAGTAGAGGGAAGCAGAAGAGGGAAGAAGTAGAGGGAAGCAGAAGAGGGAAGAAGAAGAGGGAAGCAGAAGAGGGAAGAAGAAGAGGGAAGCAGAAGAGGGAAGAAGAAGAGGGAAGATGTAAAGGGAAGCAGAAGAGGGAAGCAGTAGTGGGAAGCAGGAGAAGGAAGCAGTAGAGGGAAGCAGACGAAGGAAGCAACAGACGGAACATTGATAACATCTGTGTTAGTATACTACATACTTTGATAATATATGTGTGCAAGCATTGACAAAAGCTTTGTTTGTGTACACGCAATGATAACATTTGTATTTGTGTACACACTGATAACATCTGTGTTTCTGTACACACTTTGATAACAAGTGTGTTTGTGTAAACACGTTGAAAACATGTGTTTGCGTATACATATTGCACACATCTGTGTTTTTGTACATCTATTTGTGTTAACTACAAACATTGACAATCTATGTGTTTGTGTACAAACATTGATAACATTTGTGTTTATGTACACACTGATAACATTTGTGTTTCCGTACACATATTGACAACATCTGTGTTTCTGTACACGCACTGACAACATCTATGTTTCTGTACACATATTGACAACAGCTGTGCTTCTGTACACATACTGACAACATTTGTGTTTCTGTACACATATTGACAACATATGTGCTTCTGTACACATATAGACAACATTTGTGTTTCTGTACACATATTGACAACATTTGTGTTTCTGTAAACATATTGACAACATTTATGTTTCTGTAAACATATTAACAACATCTGTGTTTCTGTACATATATGACAACATCTGTGTTTCTGTACACATATTGACAACATCTGTGCTTCTGTACACATATTGGCAACATCTGTGTTTCTGTACACATATTGACAACATCTGTGTATGTGTACACATATTGACAACATCTGTGTTTCTGTACACATATTGACATCATCTGTGTTTCTGTACATTTGTTGAAAACATCTGTGTTTCTGTACACATGTTGACAACATCTGTGTTTCTGTACACATATTGACAACATCTGTGTTTCTGTACACATATTGACAACATCTGTGTATGTGTACACATATTGACAACATCTGTGTGTCTGTACACATATTGACAACATCTGTGTTTCTGTACACATATTGACAACATCGGTGTATGTGTACACATATTGACAACATCTGTGTTTCTGTACAGATATTGACATCATCTGTGTTTCTGTACACATATTGACAACATCTGTGTTTCTGTACACATATTGACATCTTCTGTGTTTTTGTACACATATTGACAACATCTGTGTTTGTGTACACATATTAACAACATCTGTGTTTCTGTACACATATTGACAAATCTGTGTTTCTGTACACATATTGACAACATCTGTGTTTGTGTACTGATATTGACAACATCTGTGTTTGTGTACTGATATTGACAACATCTGTGTTTGTGTACACATATTGACAACATCTGTGTTTGTGTACACATATTGACAACATCTGTGTTTGTGTACACATATTGACAACATCTGTGTTTGTGTACACATATTGACAACATCAGTGTTTGACAGTGACATTGTCTCCATCGTATTGCTGTGTTATCTATCACCCGGACCCTGTTCTTTTATTACTGCCTGTGTGTCCTTTCTTCTGTCACTCTGTCTGAACACTGACTGCAGTCTCTCCTGTGTGTCAATCTGTTTGTCTGTCAAGTAATCTGATAACCTTAGTTTCATCTTTATAGCAAACGGATCACCTCATAGTTGCTCCGCTCCTGTGCCAACGAAAAACACACCTAATGTCCATCAATGTACCTTGTGACAACACTGACACAAACTGCTGCCTCAGCATATCCACTGGCATACACGCGCATTAAAAGCATAATCCAGTCTTCAGATGTGCCAACACAAAGAGGCTGACACTAGAAATGCAGCTCATCATCGACGGAAGCAGCAGCTACAAACAGATCAGTAGTTGCACACGCCATTTATTTTAATCACCACCAAATCTGCGGCAACAAGCCACGTGCCATTTTCTGAATCTAAAGGTCACAACACCACGCTGGTTACAGTTAAAAATAACAACATTCTGAATGGAATCCGCTGCTCACAGTGTTGCACAAATTGAGGAAAATGCGACCGGCAAATGGATCACACCATCATTACTCTGCTCCTGTCTGTCTGCATGTCTGATCACTTGCAAGTTTATCATTCTGTCTATTTGAGTTATGGATGTGTGACAGTACTACTGCTGTCTGTCTTTCTGTCTATACTAGTTTTAGCTTGCCTATTTCATCATTCGTCCTTTCGTATGTCCAAATATAATGTCTCTCCTCGCTATAAAGGGATTCCCCGTGGCGGAGCGGCTAGACGCTCGTCGCTGATCGGAAGGTCGTGGGTTCGCTCCCTTGCGGAGCCTGACTTTTTCAGAAATGACTTTGGCTCTCAGGTCGACCCAGCCTTGAGTGGGTACCGGGTGCAGTCCCGGGAAGTAAAGGCGACTGGCGTGATGTTGACCACATGACCCATCTTTTGCCGATTGGTCTATACAAATATAGGTCTAGCCCTATATGCCCTTTACGCCTAAAGGCGTGGAAAAGGGTCCTTTACTTTACTTCCTCGCTACAAACCTGGTTGTTTCATGACTGCATGCCTGTCTGTCTGTCGGCGTCTCACGGGTGTCTGTACACCTTACCTAAGCACTGGCTGTACCCCGCATTTAGTCTGTTTGTCTCTATGCGCATTAATTGTTTCATAACTGTCTGTCTGTCTGTGCCCTAGAAGCCTGGTTGTCCTTCTGTCTAAACAGATAAATCACTACGGTCTGAGAAGACTAGCGCTGCGAGGAGTTACTAGGCGATCTGGTCGACGCTCAACACTCAAGGAAAAGGCGAGACAGACAAACAATCACACAGTTATTGATACCATCGGAATTGGAACTCTTCGTTTGCTGCTGAAGACGGTATGGGCGTCCCAAGTGCTATGATGTCGATTCTTATTTCAACATTCTGTCTAAACTATACGTGGTTAATAACTGAACAGGGCTGGTTTCTACGACACAAACTCATACTAACTCGCACCATTCTTGGCCTGCCACTCACTGGTGATCTATGACAAGGTGTTTTCCGCTGCTCGCTGGATCAGTGACTTCAAGAGGCTGTATCTTTCTTCGTCTGAGATTGGCGCATATTGAGGATCCCTTTTCTTCTTCCCACTGTTTGAGGCAAAACTCAAGAGTTAAACACATCTTAGTATGTTACATCCAGGAATTAAACTCATCTGATCATCTTAGTCCGAAGCTAAAATATTTTGGTCATATCAAGCGCCACGACTGATTTGAAAAAAATTATAGCAGAAGGCATGGTACCAGGAAGGAGGGGCAGGGGCCGACCGAAACGAAGATGGGCACAGGATATAAGTGACTCCTTGAGTGTGAAAGTACATGAGGCGGGAGAACTGGCGAGAGACCGAGTTTCTTTCAGGCAGACTGTGATGAGAGTGACGTTCTGCAAAGGACCTGCTACATGATGAGGATGATGATGATCATGTAAGTATTGTGTAGATCGATGAGTTAAACACCAGTCAGTCCAGTACGTGCGGGAGTTAAATATTCGGGCTAACAAATCTGAAAGAAAGCCACCGTTAATTTACGACAACCAAATAACTCAAATTCACAAATGAATGGGCTCGCCGTAACAGAGTTGGCTAGTCTGTAATAATAATGAAAGGTTGGGTTGGTCAGTTGTTGAAATGTTTCATGTCGCGACCATCAGTCTCCTTGCACTAGGTTTTATCACACATGGCTCAGTCTCCCTCCACCGCCACACCCCCCCCCCCACATCACCAGGGAAAACTCCCTTGTTTCTGATGTGCTTGTGTTTTATCTGTCTATGTTTAATCATTCATTTTTTTTCTAATATCCAGAAACCATGAGTTCTTAACCCTTTGGCTCGGTACTAATAATATCGCAACCCTTCGGCCTTGATTCCAAGATAGATACCGTATATCTGGGGGAAATGTCGCTTTTCTGCCTACCACCGGGCGTGAACCCGGACCACAAGGAATTCATCACCGGGTCGTCGCGAAGTCAGGTTTGGCCAACTACGCTAGCGAGCTGGGCAGTTCATCATTCATTATAATAATGATGTTTGCTACGATAGTGATGATTATGATTGTTGTTGCTGTTACTTTTATTGATGATGTTGAAGAAGAAGAAGAAGAAGAAGAAGAAGAAGAAGAAGAAGAAGAAGAAGAAGAAGAAGAAGAAGAAGAAGAAGAAGAAGAAGAAGAAGAAGAAGAAGAAGAAGAAGAAGAAGAAGAAGAAGAAGAAAGAAAGAAAAGAAGAAGAAGAAGACAAAAAAGAGAAGAAGATGATGATGGTGACATTATTGATAATGACGAAGCTGGTGATGACAACATTAAAACATAAAGGCTCTTATTTCAGGCTTAACGATTCACTGCCCCAAGCCACGAGCCGTTGATAACACCAATACACAACAATTTCACACATCTAGACACCATGGAAAGTAGACAAGATGTAATCGACTTTGTCAGACACTGAAAACAGAAACATTACTGCAATGACTGAATGTTACTGACACAGTTGGACAGCGGTTTGTTGTCACGGAGACAGCAGGGGAATGAATGGCAGTTGCTGACAGTAGGACAATAATTGGTAGTTACTGATAGTAGGACAATGATTGATAGTTACTGATAGTAGGACAATGACTGGTAATTACTGACAGTAAGACAATGATTGGTAGTTACTGACATGACAATTACTACCACCGATACGGCAGGATAATGACAGGTAATCACAAAAGCAGACGGATCATGACTGCAATATGACATCACACACACAAAAGATTCAGTGGTATCTGTAAATGCTAAACAAAGGAAGAAATAACTGTCAGTACTGCTCAGCAAAGATTAAACAGCCTAAAAGTCTATGCCTAAGAACCAGCAAAAAGATAAAAATTAGAATTTTGAGAGCATCTTCCCTGCGGCTACATACAGATGTGAGTCGTTAACTATCTCTCAGTAATTAAGAAAGATAATAGGGGCTTTTGAGCTGAAAGGCTATAGAAAGATTCTCAGAATATCTTGAACAAAGAAGAGGAGAAATATTGACATCTTAAAAGATTTGAACATCAAGGAAGATTGGCTAATAAACAGCATCCTGTCTGGGAAGCTGAAATATTTTGGTAATATCAAGCGCCACAACGTATTGGAAAACATTAAAGCGGAAGGCATGGTACCAGGAAGCAGAGGCCGTCCGACAGATGGGCCAGGATATAAGTGACTCCTTGAATATGAAAGTACATGAGGCGGGAGAACTGGCGAGAGACCGAGTTTCTTTCAGGCAGACTGTGATGAGAGCGACGTTCTGCAAAGGACCTGCTACATGATAATGACTGCTCAGTAAAACGAATAAATGTTAAACCACGAGAACACAAGACGCTCCAAACATAGCGCCTTGGCTGGAACAAAGGCACGCGTCCAGCAACATCACGTGACCGGCGGTCTCGGCAAACAGCATCAAAGGCCCACGAGTACACTACCTACATTACATCCGGGTCAAAGAGCCCGTGTGCCACAATGTATCTGCTCCGGCTTCGACTTCCGGCCAGAGCTAGAAGGGCCTGTAACTCTGCTATTCTCTGATCAGCAGACGATCTTCTAACTCTGCGAAATTAAAACATGGAATATTCTCACCCAGACCTATGCCCCAGTAGGGAATAAAGGACAGGAGGAGGGGTGAGTCTGTCGCCGGTGCTTATCGTATCGTAAAAATCAAACAAAAATTCCAAGCTTAGTCATTATTTTAGCAGCCTGAAGGCCTGCTTTATCAAGGATGGTTCCTTTGCTATCTTATTTGTTCTGTTCCTTTGTGGTGTGCAATTACACCTGAGTCTGTTTCTTTGTTACCTAAGTTCGATGCAGGTTTTAAGGCTCCTGGTTCCTGGATTTAGCAGGTTGCCCTGTCCGCTGGCCGTTGCACTGATCATCTGTGCGTGCACAGAGGCTCGCTGGAAGATTACCTATGACCTCTGTTGGTGAAGACAGGTTCCGCATTATAGCAATAGTTCTAAAAGCTCAATTGGGGGGGGGGGGGGGGGGGGGGGATCACAACAGGGAGCTTCTGGACGTCAAATATGTTTCCTTTTCTGACACTCACTGAGAGGCAACGCCACGATCGTGACTCCAGCGTGTCTGTCCTGTCTGAGTGTCCAAACACTGCTGAATTGTAAACAGTCGTTGTCTGCTGGCCACACCTGTACCCAAAATGCATCACATTTCGTATGCCTTGCCAACAGCCGCCTTGCCCTCCGATAGATGAATACTGTACACGAGACGTCTCGCCAGCGTTTCCATCTACAGGTACATTCCAAGGGTAAGGATCTTTATCTGGATTTCTGTGATTGTTAAAACGTAGAAATTTTAAAGCTACGAAACGAAACACTTACCCACTTTTATGTAAGGATTTTTACATTTTTTTAAACCCAAGATTCCATAATCTCAACCCATGGCGTCAAATAAAAACCCAAATCTGGGGGTAAAAACCCATCATTGGCAGCCCTGATTTGGAGCCTTTCAATGCTTGACTGTGATAAGAGAAAGTTCATAGATTGACTACAAGAAACAAGGAAAGAGAGCTTGACAAGCGACTAAATAATGACCGAAGGAATTCAAATGTGCTTTTTAAAACATGATATGTGAATTTTGAAAACAGAGCTGTTTTTTTTTTTTTTTTTTTTTTTTAAACATTATATTACGTTGAAATATCAATTCATTAAGTATGTAACTACAATGTTTCTACTGCTAAAATAGACAAACTAACTGTTCGCACTAGAGAATATACAAATTAAAAAAGAACAGACAAAGGTGGGAATGGTGCATACACACAAATGATAATGCCATACGTGTAGTGTTAAGCAGACGCGCACACATGTTCATACATAAAAGCACTCACACACACAGACACACACAGATACAGGCACATTATAATGCCACACAGGTATAATGCTACTCAGACACTAGCACGTCAGCATAAGAATTTATCTTAACAACAAACACACACACACATAAACCTACAAAAGTCAGTATAAGAATTTGCCTTAACAACACACAGACACTAATACACACACACACACACACACACACACACACAACTACACAGACCAGCATAGGAATTTACGTGAAGAACAAACACACACACACACACACACAAACATACACAGACCAGCATAAGAATTTACCTTAACACCAAACACACACAAACCTACACAGGCCAGCATAAGAATTTACCTTAACAACAAACACACACACAAACATATACAGACCAGCATAAGAATTTACCTTAACAACAAAAACAAACAAACCTACACTGGCCAGCATAAGAATTTACCTCAACAACAAACACACACACACAGACCTACACATGCACGCATAAGAATTTACCTGAACAACAAACACACACACACACACAAACCTACACTGGCCAGCGTAAGAATTTACCTGAACAACAAACACACACACACACACAAACCTACACTGGCCAGCGTAAGAATTTACCTGAACAACAAACACACACACACAAACCTACACAGGCCAGCATAAGAATTTAACTGAACAACAAACACACACACACAAACCTACACAGGCCAGCATCAGAATTTACCTGAACAACAAACACACACAAACCTACACAGGCCAGCATAAAAATGTACCTAAACAACAAACAAACAAACACACACACACAAACACAGGCTAGTATGGGAAACAATCTTCACAACAAATACAAACACACATACACCTACACACGCCTACAAAGGAAATAATCTTTACATAACACACACAACACACAACTTTGTAAGGTCGAAACACACAAGCACCCCATGATGCGATTAAAGAAATATTGACGTCACAATGCTCACACCACTGACAACAACTACAACCACATCATCATTAACAACTACTACACATGACTTCCACAGACCTGGCATGAACGTCGACAACTCCACAGGCCACCAACTCACAGCCCTGGGATGGAACCTTGCCTCCCAGCGCGATCCAGGCTAGGTACTCTGCCGTCCTCACGTCTGCCGACTGGCGTTTTGTCCGGGAACTTTATAGAAAATGGTACTGTCATTATTATCATGTGACGTTACAGACGTTAGAGATTCAAGTTCTATAATCATCAGAAAGTATTCTATCTATAGGATATCAACTACTTGATCCCGTCAACAGGATATCGACTTCTAGATCCCGTCAACAGGATATCGACTACTAGATCCCGTCAACAGGATATCGACTACTAGATCTCGTCAACAGGATATCGACTACTAGATCCCGTCAACAGGATATCGACTACTAGATCCCGTCAACAGGATATCGACTACTAGATCCCGTCAACAGGATATCGACTACTAGATCCCGTCAACAGAATATCGACTACTAGATCCCGTCAACAGGATATCGACTACTAGATCCCGTCAACAGGATATCGACTACTTGATCCCGTCAACAGGATATCGACTACTAGATTCCGTCAACAGGATATCGACTACTAGATCCCGTCAACAGGATATCGACTACTTGATCCCGTCAACAGGATATCGACTACTAGATTCCGTCAACAGGATATCGACTACTTGATCCCGTCAACAGGATATCGACTACTTGATCCCGTCAACAGGATATCGACTACTAGATTCCGTCAACAGGATATCGACTACTAGATCCCGTCAACAGGATATCGACTACTTGATCCCGTCAACAGGATATCGACTACTAGATTCCGTCAACAGGATATCGACTACTTGATCCCGTCAACAGGATATCGACTTCTAGATTCCATCTACAGCAGTGGCTCTCAAACTTCCTGATGCAACGACCCTTTGATACAGTTCTTCATGTTGTGGCGACATCGAGTCATTAAAAAAATGTCTTTGCTACTTCATAACTTAAACGAATTTGTGTTTTCCGAAAATCTTTGGCAACCACATAATGGTCGCGACCCACAGGTTGAGAAACGCTGATCTGCAGATATCGACTACTTGATTCCGTCTACATGTCATCGACTACTATATTCCGTCTACATGATATCGACTACTGGATTTCATCTACACGATAGCTGCTACTAGATTCTATCTACATGATATCGACTACTAGATTCCATCTACACAATACCGACTACTACATTCCACTTACAAGATATCGACTACTAAACTTCACCAACAAGATGTTGACTAATAGATCCCATATATGCGACATCAACTACTAAATTCCATCTACAGGATATCGACTACAGGATTCCATCCACACAATATCGACTACTAGATTCTATCTACCGGATATCGACTACTAGATTCCATCTTTAGGGTATCGACTACTTGATCCCGTCTACAGGGTATCGACTACAAGATTCTGTCTACAGGATATCGACTATTAGATTCCATTTACAGGATATCGACTACTAAATTCTATTCACAGGATATCGACTACTAAATTTTATCTACAGGATATCGACTACTAGATTCAATCTATAGGATATCGACTACTAAATTCCATCTACAGGATATCGACTAATAGATTTCATCTACAAGTTATTGACTACTAGATTCCATCTCTACAGGATATCGACTTATAGATTCCGTGTACAGGATATCGACTACTAGATTTCATCTACAAAATAACGACTGCTAAATTCCATCTACAGGATATCGACTACTAGATTCTTTCAACAGGATATCGACTACTAGATTCCATCTACAGGATATCGACTATTAGATTCTATCTACAGGAGTTAGACTACTCATTTACATCTACAGAATATCGACGACTAGATTCTTTCTACAGGATATCGACTACTAAATTCTACTTGTACGATATCGCCTACTAGATTCCATCTACAGGATATCGACTACTAGATTCCATATATAGGATATCGAATACTAGATTCCATCTACATGAGAGTGACTACTAGATTATACACATAAAATATCGACTAACAGATTCCATATACACGATATCGACTACTAGATTCCGTCTACAGTATATCGACTACTAGATTCAATTTACAATATATCGACTACTGGATTCCATCTACAGGATATCGACTATTAGATTCTATCTACAGGAGTTAGACTACTCATTTACATCTACAGAATATCGACAACTAGATTCTTTCTACAGGATATCGACTACTAAATTCTACTTGTACGATATCGCCTACTAGATTCCATCTACAGGATATCGACTACTAGATTCCATATATAGGATATCGAATACTAGATTCCATATACATGAGAGTGACTACTAGATTATACACATAAAATATCGACTAACAGATTCCATATACACGATATCGACTACTAGATTCCGTCTACAGTATATCAACTACTAGATTCAATTTACAATATATCGACTACTGGATTCCATCTACAGGATATCGACTACTAGATTCCATCTACAGGATAACGACTACTAGATTTCATCTACAGGATATCGACTACTAGATTCCATCTACAGGATATCGACTACTAGATTTCATCAGAAAAAAAGGTTGACCAAGTTTCATTGCCATAAAGCAGAGTGCTGAGAACACAAGCCTGATAGACAAGGATTTTTGTTTTAATTGTGAGCTTTCTGTTCTCCCAAACTCTCGTTGTCAATCTGCTCATTGTTGTTGCTGCCTTACCTATCCTGATGTTGATTTCTTGGTCCAGCGGTAGTTTACTATTCACTGTGGAACCCAGATAGGTAAAATGGTCTACTGTCTCAAGCGCTTCACCGTCAATGTAGACTGTAGGTGTGTCATTAACACCTCGCACCATAACCTTCGTCTTTTGTTGTTGTTTTTGTTGCTGACTGTTAGTCTAAATTCACAGAATGCATCAGCAGAGGCAGATAGTAAACATTGCAGCTCCTCCTCTGAGAGGGTGATTATAGCGGCATCATTGCAAACAGCAGCTCTCTGATAAGTACTTTTCTTATCCTGGTTTTGGCCTTCAGCCTGCGAGCATTGTAAAGGCTGCCGTCAGATCGAGAATGAATGAAAATACCACCCTCCTGATCTCGAAAGGCATGTGTCAAAAGAAGTGAAAAGTATATTCCAAAGAGGGTAGGAGCAAGTACACACCCCTGCTTCACTCCATTTTTGAATTCAAACTCCTCCGATGTTACACCCTCAAAGTTGATTGTACCTTTCATACCTGTGTGGAACGACTCAATAATGCTCAGTAGAGCAGGTGGACACCTAATCTTCTGCAGTGCGTTGAACAGACCTTTTCGGCTAACCAAATCAAATGCCTTGGTAAGATCAATAAAAACAACATACAGTGGTTGATTTTGTTCGTTGAATTTTTCCTGCAACTGTCGTAATGAAAATATCAAATCAAGGCCAGGGATGAAGTTCTTTCTCTACATAGTACAAAGCCTGGGCAGTATTGTAGAGACCACATGTTGCTCATGCATAATGATCCCTCCCTCGACCTGCTTTGTTTACTCCAAAGGAAAGGTAAAACCAGTACGTTTGGAACGAGGCAGGTTGCAGAAGCTGCTGGATTAAAAGAGCAGTGCTCTATCTGTCCACCTGTCGGAGCTTCCATCCTAGACCAGCTGCCAGCCAAGGCGAAGGGCCTGGTCTGCCCTGCCAAAACATAAAATTTTCAGGTTGCATTTCCTCTTCCTAGGATAAGGCGAGTATCCTACCCAATGTGCTCCTACGCCCGAAGCCGTTGGCATAATATGGGATGTTGGGTTAGCATACGCCGCCCAACATTCGGCGTAATAGAAGACAGATGGTACCAGTTTTGTTTTACGATGGTAGGTCAGTCATACTACTAGATTTAATCTACACAATATCGACTACTAGATTCCGTCTACAAGATATCGACTACTAGATTTCACCTAATAGAGATAAGATAGTCTAGGACCAAACGTATATCGTACCTCCTAGAGATAAGATATTCTAGCACCAAACGTATATCGTACCTCCTAGAGATTAGATATTCTAGGACCAAACGTATATAGTACATCCTAGAGACTAGATATTATAGGACCAAACGTATATAGTACACCCTAGAGATTAGATATTCTAGGACCAAACGTATATAGTACATCCCAGAGATAAGATATTCTAGGACCAAACGTAAATAGTACACCCTAGAGATTAGATATTCTAGGACCAAACGTATATCGTACATCCTAGAGATAAGATATCCTAGAACCAAACGTGTATCGTAATCCTAGAGATTAGATATTCTAGGACCACACGTATATATAGTACATCCTAGAGATTAGATATGCTAAGACCAAACGTATATCGTAAATCCTAGAAATGATATATTCTAGGACCAGACGTATATAGTGCATGCTAGAGATAGGATATTCTGGAACTAAATGTATATCGTGCATCCTAGAGATAAGATAGTCTGGCACCAAATGTATATCGTAAGCATATAACAATGGAGGCCATACCTGCTAGGATGTAGGGCTGCTTCTTATTCCAGAAATACAGATCTGGCGACTAACAGTGGCCTACGCGGTAGCCAGCCCTCGTACACAGTAACAGTGTGGAGGTTAGCCTGGCACACAGTAACAGTGTGGAGGTTAGCCTGGCACACAGTAACAGTGTGGAGGTTAGCCTGGTACACAGTAACAGTGTGGAGGTTAGCCTGGTACACAGTAACAGTGTGGAGGTTAGCCTGGTACACAGTAACAGTGTGGAGGTTAGCCTGGTACACAGTAACAGTGTGGAGGTTAGCCTGGTACACAGTAACAGTGTAGAGGTTAGCCTGGTACACAGTAACAGTGTGGAGGTTAGCCTGGTACACAGTAACAGTGTGGAGGTTAGCCTGGTACACAGTAACAGTATGGAGGTTAGCCTGGCACACAGTAACAGTGTGGAGGTTAGCCTGGTACACAGTAACAGTGTGGAGGTTATCCTAGTACACAGTAACAGTATAGAGGTTAGCCTGGCACACAGTAACAGTGTTGAGGTTAGCCTGGTACACAGTAACAGTGTGGAGGTTATCCTGGCACACAGTAACAGTATAGAGGTTAGCCTGGCACACAGTAACAGTGTTGAGGTTAGCCTGGTACACAGTAACAGTGTGGAGGTTAGCCTGGCACACAGTAACAATATGGAGGTTAGCCTGGTACACAGTAACAGTGTGGAGGTTAGCCTGGCACACAGTTACAGTGTGGAGGTTAGCCTGGCACACAGTAACAGTGTGGAGGTTAGCCTGGCACACAGTAACAGTGTGGAGATAAGCCTGGCACACAGTAACAGTGTGGAGGTTAGCCTGGTACACAGTAACAGTGTGGAGATAAGCCTGGCACACAGTAACAGTGTGGAGGTTAGCCTGGTACACAGTAACAGTGTGGAGGTTAGCCTGGTACACAGTAACAGTATGGAGGTTAGCCTGGTACACAGTAACAGTGTGGAGGTTAGCCTGGTACACAGTAACAGTATGGAGGTTAACCTGGTACACAGTAACAGTGTGGAGGTTAGCCTGGTACACAGTAACAGTGTGGAGGTTAGCCTGGTACACAGTAACAGTATGGAGGTTAGCCTGGTACACAGTAACAGTGTGGAGGTTAGCCTAGTACACGGTAACAGTGTGGAGGTTAGCCTGGTACACAGTAACAGTGTGGAGGTTAGCCTGGCACACAGTAACAGTGTGGAGGTTAGCCTGGTACACAGTAACAGTGTTGAGGTTAGCCTGGTACACAGTAACAGTATGGAGGTTATATAGTTAGGATCTTTGGGCTTACCTGGCAGATTCTGACACGGCTGCTGTAGAAGATGGTGTCACCAGCAGGAGCGAGATGAGAGCAGCAAAGATGGATGCTTGAAGCGTGTTCATTGTGCTAGGTAGGAACAAGAATATAAGGTCATACAATATTGTTAGCTGGCCAGTATGGGTGACGGTTCAGGGGTGCATTCACACACACACACACACACACACACACACACATATATATATATACACACACACACGGACACATGCATTGCATACACATGAAAATCACAAGCACGTAACCAGGAAGCGTTAGGTCGACACTACACTGACGCTCTAATTTGGTCAGATGCCGCACGAACTGGTAAAAAATTTAGACTTAATACAGCTCATACACACACGTCAGACTAGAGGCTACACGTATATTCACATAACCAAGATAGGACACACATACACACTTACAGCAATAACCAAGAAACCACACATATACAGGCACACACAGAACCACACAGACATACACACAGACAAACACATAGACACACACACAGACACACACACATAAATAAACACACACACAGACACACACACATAAACACACATAGACGCACATACAGACACACACACAGACACACATAAACACACATAAAGACACACATATAGACACACACACATAGACACACACACACACATATTGACACACACATAGACACACACAGACACATACATAGATACACACACAAACACACAGAGACACACACAGACACACAAACAGAACACACACACAGACACACACACACATAGAGACACACTCACAGACACACACATACACACATATAGACACAGACACACATAGACACACATACACAGATTGACACACTCATAGACATACACAGACACACACATAGATACACACATAGATACACACATAAACACACATAGACACACACACATAGACACACACACATAGGCACACACATATAGACACACACATAGACACACACACATAGACACACAGACACACACACACACACAGACACACACACATAGACACACACAAATAGACACACACACAGACACACACACAGACACACACACAGATACACACACATAGACACACACAGAGACACACACAGAGACACACACACATAGACACACACACATAGACACACACATAGACACACACACATAGACACACACATAGACACACACACATAGACACACACATACACACATATAGACACAGACACACACACACAGACACACACAGACACACACACAGACACACACACATAGACACACACACAGACACACACACACAGACACACACACAGACACACATACATAGACACACACATATAGACACACAGATTGCAAGGGGGTGGGTTCGGGTCCTGTCGGCGCCAAATGTTTTTCCAAAATGACCTTGGAGCGCTAATGTCGATCCTGCCTTGAGTGACTACCGGATACAGGTCCTAGGATAATAAAGCTGGCCGGTGTGATGCTGGCCACATCGCCCATCGATTAATCTATAAAACTTAGGTCTAGCCCTATATGCCCAACACGTCCAAAGGCGCGGAAAAGGTTCTGTATACTTTCTTTTTAACTTACAAGGCGACGTGCGTCAGTCATAGACTTTGCCAGCATCTACAGCCACATATCGTCATCATCATCATCATCAGTTCTCGTTATGCCTAGTGGCACATGAGGCTTCAGAGAGGACTTTCCCTGCTTTCCTGTCCTTGCTGACAGTAGTGTTTTAAAACTAAGATATGTTTTTCAGAGTTTTGTTTCTTAACTATATGTGGTTAAGTTACTGTTACTTGTTAATAGATTCGGTTAAATACTTTATACCTCACCTTCATCTGGTGGGGTGGGGGCACTAGTATAGCGATGAGACAGTCAGGGCAAGAATAGGTCAGCTAAAGATTGATCTGATCCATTGCCGTATCTGAGCCCAGCTACCCTCTCTCTCTCTCTCTCTCTCTCTCTCTCTCTCTCTCTCTCTCTCTCTCTCTCTCTCTCTCTCTCTCTCTCTCTCTCTCTCTCTTCATCCCTAGGGGCTTAAAAACTGCGAGCCACCAACAAAACTGTGAGCCTCTTCAGAGTGGCGAGATACTGCATCTCCAAGCCAGAGAAGAAGATACAACAGTTCGACCACAGGTCCCTGTTAAGCTGCTCAACATCTTCTCACTTGATCTTACCCGGATCCAGTCCCCCCCCCCCCCCCCCGCCGCCCACCGCCCTTTTTTAAAACTGTTTTGTTGTCAAATGTACTCTCGGGTTCTCCCCCATCTTTTGACGTATCTCAAGCATGTGGACCGTCTGAGGATGTCCATCTTTTTTCCTGTACCTCTATGGGTTCGCGGGTGCCGGGTTCGATCCCACCTGTGAGCCATGCGCCTAGCGTTGGTTTCGACAGTGGTGTCAGGGGGTCGACCGTCCAGAGGGCAATGGCAAACTACTGAACTTAAATTTGCCTAGAGAAACCACACAAAAGCAAGGGGCTGCTGGAGTTAGTTCTGCAACGTCCTGTAAAGGATACGCAACTAACTAACCTATGGGTTCGCTAATCGGCTGATTGTGCATGATTCACTCCCGTACATCAGGACTGGCTGTCTGCACCTCTTAAGAACTGCCCCGCTAAAATGTTGGCTATTCAGAATGAGCCAAATGCATCTCTGCCAACCAGAGACTTATTTATGAAAGAAAATATGACAATTTCAGGAATCTTGTAGTCAATCGTCAGGCCTCTGCTCTGTAAGTGGAGGCCACTCTACGAAAGCAATACACGGCAATGCGTCGTGGAAAATCAAAAGATTGCAGAGCGGAAGTTCAAATACCCGGCGGTTTTTCTGCGCGTCCATCAACCTTGTGTTTTTGCACGAGCAGATAAGTGCAGATAGCAGACGGCTAGTTGACGTACCTGGCCATTATCTTCATTAGGCTGATCTTCTCCGGGCACACGGCAACAAAACAGGAAACGCGCTGCAAACGAATCTACTTGACAGGCAACAAACCAGCTCTATGGTTGGTAGCTGCTTGTGTTCGTTGACACACATCATACAGATTGGATGGGGAGATATATTCTTTCTTTCTATCTCTCTCCACCTCACACACATGCACACATACATACATTATATACAGTGACTTTATATAAACGTGTATATATCAGATATGTTGACTCTGTGGCTAAGTCGATGCGAACGCTTCATAATACCGGGGTGCCAGGTTCGATCCCAGCTGCCGACCGTGCGTTGTGCTTTGGTTTTGACAGTGGTATCAGGGTACAATCGTCCAGTAGGCAATGGCAAACTACTGGAGGTAAATTTGCATAGAAAAACCACACAACAGCCATGGGCTGTTGGGGTTGGTTCTGCAACGTCCTGTAAAGAATACGCAACTAACCTTAATATCAGATATAAATGTGTGTGCGCACTCTCTACTGTGCAATTAATTAAAGTGTATGCCTGTGTGTGATTAATTAGAGTGTATGGCTGTGTGTAAATAATTAGAGTGTATGGCTGTGTGTAAATAATTAGAGTGTATGCCTGTGTGTAAATAATTAGTGTATGCCTCTGTAATTAATTAAAGTGTATGCTTGTGTGTAATTAATTAGAGTGTATGCCTGTGTGTAAATTAAATAGAGTGTATGGCTGTCTTTAATTAATTAAAGTGTACGCGTGTGTTTAATAAATTAAAGTGTAACCTTAATATCAGATATAAATGTGTGTGCGCACTCTCTACTGTGCAATTAATTAAAGTGTATGCCTGTGTGTAATTAATTAGAGTGTATGGCTGTGTGTAATTAATTAGAGTGTATGGCTGTGTGTAAATTATAAGAGTGTATGCCTGTTTGTAAATAATTAGAGTGTATGGCTGTGTGTAATGAATTAGAGTGTATGCCTGTGCGTGATTAATTAGAGTGCACGTGTGGTTGTCTGTATGTTGCGTTATTTACAGTGTGCCAAAATGTGTCACTAACTAAACACAGCGGCCGTGGGGTAGCAGCTAGACTCGCCTGCGGCCTCAGTGGTCGTGGGGGCTAGGGGGGGGGGAACTGGTAGCCATGGTCGTGGGGGTTACGGTGGAACTAGTAGCCATGGTCGTGGGGGTTACGGTGGAACTGGGAGCCATGGTCGTGGGGGTTACGGTGGAACTGGGAGCCATGGTCGTGGGGGCTGACTGAAAGCCGTGGTCGTAGGAGCTGAGGTGGAACTGGGAGCCATGGTCGTGGGAGCTGAGGTGGAACTGGGAGCCATGGTCGTGGGTGCTGAGGTGGAACTGGGAGCCGTGGTCGTGGGTGCTGAGGTGGAACTGGGAGCCATGGTCGTGGGTGCTGAGGTGGAACTGGGAGCCGTGGTCGTGGGTGCTGAGGTGGAACTGTGAGCGTGGTCGTGGGTGCTGAGGTGGAACTGGGAGCCATGGTAGTGGGTGCTGAGGTGGAACTGGGAGCCATGGTCAGACATTTAAAAAAGCCGCTTTGAAGCTGATTCGACCCCCCCCCCCTCCCCCTTCTACACCCCCAACTGCGACGAACAGGCATGTGCTGTGAAACATGGCGGCCTTAGAACATTTATAAGAGGCCGAATGGCAGCTCTTAATCATCATTATCATTAAGTATTTCATTTACATTGTATGTTATTTAAAATACAAAAATTAATTAGCCATTTTGTACATTAGGATTATATTAATTATTATTATTATAACCCACTTCAACCAGTCATATTTCCCTTGAGTCCCTTTGATGTAAAAAAGCTAAAGGCTCTTCCGGAATATTCTGGTTTTTTTTTTTTTTTTGGCGTCCCTACTGTAGGATCATCAAGTGCCTTGCGGACTGGCGTGCCCGATCGTGCCTCTCACAATCCGCAAAAACTGGTATAAGTTGGTGTGGTCGAGACCCCTCCACGCCATGACAAAAGGCTTTCAAGAATCTTCTTGCGCTGTCCTCCTCTTTTTCTCTTACCACTGATTTTTCCTGTGGTCACATGTTCCAGTTTCTTTCTTCTCATTACATAACCCCCCCCCCCCCCCCCCCCCCCCCCCCCCCTCCCACCTCTCTTAATCAAAAAAAAAAATTAAAAACAAAAAAAGAGATGACTGTCTCTTTATGTAACCTACGTAAAATT